GGTAGTTCAGACACAAACCACGACAGCTTATTGTAGAATACTACCTACACTGGAGCACCACGTTTGAGCTATCTTTTTCAGGTAGTTCAGACACAAACTACGACATAGCTTATTGTAGAATACTACCTACACTGGAGCACCACGTTTGAGATATCTTTTTCAGGTAGTTCAGACACAAACTACGACATAGCTTATTGTACAATACTACCTACACTGGAGCACCACGTTTGAGTATCTTTTTCAGGTAGTTCAGACACAAACCACGACAGCTTATTGTAGAATACTATATACAATGGACCACCACGTTTGAGATATCTTTTTCAGGTAGTTCAGACACAAACCACGACAGCTTATTGTAGAATACTACCTACATTGGAGCACCACGTTTGAGCTATCTTTTTCAGGTAGTTCAGACACAAACTACGACATAGCTTATTGTAGAATACTACCTACACTGGAGCACCACGTTTGAGATATCTTTTTCAGGTAGTTCAGACACAAACTACGACATAGCTTATTGTACAATACTACCTACACTGGAGCACCACGTTTGAGTATCTTTTTCAGGTAGTTCAGACACAAACCACGACAGCTTATTGTAGAATACTATATACAATGGACCACCACGTTTGAGATATCTTTTTCAGGTAGTTCAGACACAAACCACGACAGCTTATTGTAGAATACTACCTACATTGGAGCACCACGTTTGAGCTATCTTTTTCAGGTAGTTCAGACACAAACTACGACATAGCTTATTGTAGAATACTACCTACACTGGAGCACCACGTTTGAGATATCTTTTTCAGGTAGTTCAGACACAAACTACGACATAGCTTATTGTACAATACTACCTACACTGGAGCACCACGTTTGAGTATCTTTTTCAGGTAGTTCAGACACAAACCACGACAGCTTATTGTAGAATACTATATACAATGGACCACCACGTTTGAGATATCTTTTTCAGGTAGTTCAGACACAAACCACGACAGCTTATTGTAGAATACTACCTACATTGGAGCACCACGTTTGAGCTATCTTTTTCAGGTAGTTCAGACACAAACTACGACATAGCTTATTGTAGAATACTACCTACACTGGAGCACCACGTTTGAGATATCTTTTTCAGGTAGTTCAGACACAAACTACGACATAGCTTATTGTACAATACTACCTACACTGGAGCACCACGTTTGAGTATCTTTTTCAGGTAGTTCAGACACAAACCACGACAGCTTATTGTAGAATACTATATACAATGGACCACCACGTTTGAGATATTTTTTTCAGGTAGTTCAGACACAAACCACGACAGCTTATTGTAGAATACTACCTACACTGGACCACCACATTTGTAATACTGTACGTCGTGCAGTCATGCATTACCTGATTTCAGTAGGAAATAATTCCGATGTATAAATAAACAGAACACTGAACGACCCAGCAAATCCGACTTTTCCTATGATAGCAAGCGCCGTCGTTAAATTCTGGAGGGCTTCGCTATCTAGGGAAATAACAAATATAAATTTATCATAAATGTTTCACTCGCTACACTCGTTTAAGTAAATGGATGTAATCTCCGAACAAATTACATTCATGACTCAACGTTTCGACATTCTAGTCTAGTGTCAACTCTGGTTTTTGTAAATTAATGCAATCCCCACATAAATTACATTCACGACTCAACCTTTCGACATTCTAGTCTAGTGTCAACTCTGGTATAAGTAAATTGATGCAATCCCCACATAAATTACATTCATGACTCAACCTTTCGACATTCTAGTCTAGTGTCAACTCTGGTATAAGTAAATTAATGCAATCCCCATATAAATTACATTCACGACTCGACGTTTCGACAATCGAGTCTGCAATGTCTACTCGGACGGCCGTGAACTCAGAAATGCATCTTACAATCATTTTGGCGACAATAGTTATCATCATTATCAAAAGTTTATAAAAAAAATTAACAAAACACGAACGAGGTCTCTGAATGCTTACGGTTTTAACATTCTTATCCGAGAAAACGTAGTGATGATGTGATGATGATGGCGTAGTGATGATAACGATGATGGTGATTGTAATGATGATGGTGATAGTGGTGATGATGAGATGGTGATGGCGTAGTGATGATAACGATGATGGTAATGATAACGATGATGGTGATTGTAATGATGATGGTGATAGTGATGATGGTGGTGATGATGACGGTGATGATGATGATGATGGCGTAGTGATGATAACGATGATGGTGATTGTAATGATGGTGATAGTGATGATGGTGGTGATGATGATGGTGATGATGATGATGGTGATGGCGTAGTGATGATAACGATGATGGTGATTGTAATGATGATGGTGATAGTGATGATGGTGGTGATGATGATGATGATGGTGGTGGCATAGTGATAACGATGATGGTGATTGTAATGATGATGGTGATAGTGATGATGGTGGTGATGATGATGGCGTAGTGATGATAACGATGGTGATTGTAATGATAGTGATAGTGATGATGGTGGTGATGATTGAAGTGATGAAGACGGCGACGGCTATTAACACAAATTCATGATATTGTATAAAGAATTTTTTTGTATGATATTTGCATGGTATTTAACAAAGCTTTTTCGTTAACATGCACCTAAACCATTATCGGCCGACTAAATAAAAGCGCACAGGCTACGATTTAAAGCCCGTTTTCCGCTAGGCGAATTTGTTCGCACGAAGCGACTTTTTCCATTGGCGGCATCGCTTTTGCGGACGGGATAAGCGATGTTGACAAAACAAATTCGCCAGGTGGAAAACGGGCTTTAAATCGTAGCCTGTGTGCTTTTATTATTATTATTATCATCTTCATATTTACCATTTCCACTCCAACCGCATCGAAACGAAATACAACGCACTTCTTTGTGTCAAAGACATAAATTCTATCTGAGTGCTCACGAAAGAAATACATACGCTATACTTCCCGCGATACGTTTCAAGTGGAAAACAGATAAAGATAGAGAGATAAAGATAAGTATGGAGAAAGATACAAGCTTTGCAACAGCAAATCACAGATTTCACACCGTGTGTACAACGCCGGGATATGAAGCCGCGAGAAGTGGTACTCAGTAAATTGGCCTGGTTCCCATAGTCTTTATATCGCCAGTTCATAGTCTGATATTTCATCAGTTAATTATCGGTCTATTAAGTATCGCAGTTCCACTGACAACGTTAGGTAGCGGCAAACGTTACCCAACCCTGTCTGGGAGACTGCAGTACTGATCAAAGTTCCATCGGGATTTTCACCATTTCTGAAGCGGACCACCATTTGCTATCCAGTAGCGCATGCTCAAACCAACTAATAATTGAAGCTGTAGTATTCCATACTTCTTCTATCTTCAGTAAGTAAGATTTTCTTGACTTCCTTTCTTTACAGTGCACGGTAAATGACCTTACATGTGGCGTTCGTGTGTAGGCGATGTTCAACAATCGAAACGTCAAAGTTTTCTCAGAATTTTTCAGATAGTTAGATCCACCTGGCAACCTTGATAAAAACATTTCTATCGGTGTACAATGCTGTTACATCATCACCATCACCATCACCACCATCACCATCACGATCACCACCATTACCATCATCATCATCACCATCATACGCCACATCACCATCATTCGCCACATCACCCCCGTCATTATCCTCATCACCCCCGTCATTATCATCATCACCCCCGTCATTATCATCATCACCCCCGTCATTATCATCATCATCATCGTCACTATCATCGTCACCACCATCATCATCGTCACCATCACCGTCACCATCACCGTCACCATCACCATCACCATCACCGTTACCATCACCGTTACCATCACCGTTACCATCACCGTCACCATCACCGTCACCGTTACCATCACCGTTACCATCACCGTTACCGTCACCACCACCGTCGCCACCACCGTCGCCACCACCACCACCACCATCCCCGTCACCATCATCATCACCGTCACCATCATTATCCCCGTGAACACAAATGTCCACCAAACACTTGAAATTTAGTGCTACCATTTTTGGCACAGTGTAAGGATGCAGTGCAATCGCACGACTTCCTTCTCCTGTGAAAAATCTGGCAGCCTTGCAGCAATTTTAGAAACTGTACAGTCGGTTGGACGACATATAAACATGGCGGGATGCATTCCTAGTGCAGATGCATTCCTAGCTGCTTCCGATTCCATCCCCACCGGAGACACATTTAAAAAACAACCTCTGTTTGAAAACAACATGAACTAACCTGCTTTCTCAGAGAGCACGCCAGCGGCAATGTTCATTATAGATCCCATGAGGAGATATGCGCATAGTGGCTTTCGACGACCAAATCTGCAGAAACAATTTTTAACATTTGAAGATACTGTAAACCCTGGTCAAACGATGATTGCAGTTGATGAGTTTTGATGAGAACTCTTGCTCGCGTTTGACCGCATTTGAAAATTCTCATGCACTCTCAGCAACTTTTGGGCTGGTTGAAATTGAAACTCTCGCGCTTACATGTACAAAAGGCGTCAGCAGCGCAGGAAAATTTGAAGTAATTTCACACATAGGAACATATCATGCACACATGAGAGGGTTGTTACTGGGATGGACGTTTTATTGTCGAAGAAGGAGACGAGAAATGAACAGATCGGAAGAAGGCGTGGGGTGGTAATATTCCAGAGAAAGTGAGGGAAGCTGACAGTAAGGGTAAGATGACATGGCTCAGTAAGAGTAAGATGACATGGCTCAGTAAGAGTAAGATGACATGGACGAATTAATACTAAGAGATTTAGAATACTCGTCAGAGACATTATGGAATGAAGAGATCAGAAAAAGATGCGTGGAATGCGAGGGAAGCAAGGCTGAGATGACATGGTCACGTAATAAGAAGAGATGAAGTAGGGCCGTTAGACGTTATGTTGGAATGAACAGATCAGAACTTGTGGGGTGGTAGATATTGGAGAGAAGTTAAAGGAGGTAAGGTTGAGATGGTGTAGGCATATCATAGGAAGATATGAAGAAGAGCCGGTCAGAGACGTTGTGGAATGAAGAGATAAGAAGATGTGGGGTTGTAGATATTGAAGATATGGCTAGGAAAGCAAGTTTGAGACGATGTGGACATGTAATAAGAAGAGATGAGGAAGAGTTGGTCAAAGACATTATGGAATGAAGAGATCAGAAGATGTGGTGTGGTAGACATTGCAGAGAAGGTGAAGGAAGCAAGGTTGAAATGGTATGGACACATACTAAGAAGAGATGAAGGAGAGCCGGTCAGAGGCATTGTGGAATAAAGAGATCAGAAGATGTTGTGTGGTAGACATTGGAAATAAGGCGAGGAAAGCAAGCAAGGGAGGGATGGTATGAGCAGATAACAAAACGAAAGGCAGCCGGTCAGATGCATTGTGGAACAAAATACATAGATCGACGAGTAACAGACACTAGGGGGCTAATCCTTTCTCAATTTGAAAAGCATCAAATTCTGATACAAGCCAACAAAAGTGTGACTTGACTGGTAAAGGATATGGGAGAGACTAAGATCATTCACAAACAATTCTTTACCTTTCTGTGACAAAAACAGTCAAGATATATGCCATAAGTTCCAGAAGTCCACCGATAAAGAAATTCAGATATTTATTTCCTGCTAAACTTGAGATGTTTAGAGATATACCGTAGTACCCAATTGAAGTTGAAAACCTAAAATATAGAAAATCATTGGTTTTAGATTATTTCTTCTGCAGTTTCTCGATTTCTAGTACGTCCCAAAGCCCCCCTCGCAAAATTATATACGCTAGAGAAATATTTACCATATACAAGCCAGGATGACAGAACGTTTTCTCAACACACGGAATCTGAACAGATCAATAATAGTGTATTTTTTACTATCAGTCGGTGTTTTTTCGTCAGCTTTATTTTTCTCAACAGTGTCATCGAAGATATCTTGTGGAAATTCCAAATTATTGAATTTGACAATTTTTATGACAACCGCTTCTGCCTTATCGAATCTCTTCTGTGCTATCAGCCAGCGAAATGATTCTGGTAGAAACCTAGAGTAAAGAATCAAGAGTTTACATAATCTTCTATAGGCTTGGATTTTTGTGTGGGAGCATATACTATATAGCCAAAATAAAAAATACTTTATTGTATTTGCTGTTTCTGTTGTTGTTTCTGTTGTTGTTTCTGTTATTGTTACCGTTGTTGTTTCTGTTGTTGTTGTTTTTGCTGTTGTTGTTTCTGTTATTGTTGCCATTGTTTCTGTTGTTGTTGTTGTTTCTGTCATTGTTGTCGTTGTTATTGTTTCTGTTGTTATTGTTGTTGTTTTTTCTGTTGTTGTTGTTATTGTTGTTGTTTTTGCTGTTGTTGTTTCTGTTATTGCTGTTGTTGTTGCTGTTGATGTTGTTGCTGTTGATGTTGTTGCTGTTGATGTTGTTATTGTTGCCGTTGTTGTTATTGTTGTTGTTTTTGCTGTTATTTCTGTTATTGTTGCCGTTGTTGTTGTTGTTATTGTTGTTGTTGTTTCATGTTGTTGCAGTTGTTTCTGTTGTTGTTGTTTCTGTTATTGTTGTCGTTGTTTCTGTTGTTGTTGTTACTGTTGTTGTTTTTGCTATTGTTGTTTCTGTTGATGGTGCTGTAATACTTGCGTTGGCGATAACGGTGGTGGCGATAACGGTGGTGGCGATAATGGTGGTGGTGATAATGGTGGTGGTGATAATGGTGGTGGTGATAACGGTGGTGGTGATAATGGTGGTCGTGATAATGGTGGTCGTGATAATGGTGGTCGTGATAATGGTGGTCGTGATAATGGTGGTGGCAATGGTGTTGTTTTTATTGTTGCTGGTGTTGTACACGCGTAAAAACGCTCAGGTTGATGTAATACTGATGAAAACAGGATTCCCCGATTCAGGCTTATTATACAATTACACCCGATTCAGGCTTAACAATATTGTTCAATATTGTTGACAAGTGTGAACAACGTGGGCAGCAAAACATTGTTCAGTCCTGTTGAGCAGCGGGCTCGGCGTTTTTTGCCGTGTAGTTGGTGTGGTCGTGCTGGTGGTTGATGGTGGTGCTGGTGACGATAACTTGTGGTGCTGATACATTGCGTAGAATTACCGATGTAGAGCAGTCAACATTTTCCCCAAAGGGATGCCAGGCTGTTGTTTTGTAGTCACTGTTGTTGTTTTTGCTGTGCCTTTCCTGGCTTTTATTTTTAAAGGAAAATTACCATATAAGTCCAATCTGAAGTAATGTCGTCAGAGTTATAAATAACTGTATATACTTCCAGTCTTGAATGACGAATGCAATTAGAGCAGTAAGCATCACACCACCTGCCCAGAAAATCACTTGTACTGTGCCAACTTTACTGCGATATTTCAAAGCAAACAGCTCAACTATTGTAATATAGAATGCTGCTTGGAGTCCCTGAAATTTTAAATACAAAAAGACCATTTTAGTGCAGGTATAGGAATCCTAAAACGAATTAAGCATGATAATACCTTGCAAACAGTATACAAAGCTCTGATTCAGCCGTGGTAAACTATTACTGCTTTTCCAGAACCGTGCTGCTAAAAAAACCTCTGGGCCAGGGTACTGGAGCCATAATTATGAAATCATTTTGATCTGCTGATAGGGCCGTTGGAACGGGGGGGGGGGGGGGGGGGGGGGGGGGGGGGGGGCACGGGGGCTACGTGGTTTCCCCCCAATTTTTTCAAAGGACTAAAAGTGACCATTTTTGTGATGAAAAGTGCCCTTTTTGTACAAGCTAATGTCGCTGTAAATACTAAATTAACCACGGGCAATAGGACAGGTGTAGTGTTGTTAAATATAAAGTTAGAAATGGTATTATACTTACTCATGCATTATAATTTGTTTAAAAGATCAGAATATTCATAGATCGGATTTTGTTTCATAAATAGTTCTTTAATATTATTCGAAACAAATTCCATATCTGCTTCGTCTGCCATCGCCATGTTTACTCGTCCCAATCTACATGCTGCACGGCATTGCCGCCCCTCCTGGCAAATAATAAGCAAGCGAGAAAAATTAAGGAGAAAATAAGAGGGTAGGAACATTGTGGGCGTTTCGTGGGCGTGTCATCGTTCTGGGCGAATCAGCTTTCTCAATCTTGTATCACATGACTAATTCAAATCGTCATAGGCGGGAAGCAGCATTACACGTCATCCCTATACGTCAAATAAAACGTTATAAAACGCGTCGTGGATACGTTTGTGCCATATATGGAAGTTATGGATACGTTTGTGCCATATATGGAAGTGTCACTGCATCCAGCTTATGACAACGATGTTCCTACCCTCTTATTTCTCCTTAATTTTTCTCGCTTGCTTATTATTTTGCCAGGAGGGGCGGCAATGCCGTGCAGCATGTAGATTGGGACGAGTAAACATGGCGATGGCAGACGAAGCAGATATGGAATTTGTTTCGAACATTAAAGAACTATTTATGAAACAAAATAAGAAGGTATGAATATTCTGATCTTTTAAACAAATTATAATGCATGAGTAAGTATAATACCATTTCTAACTTTATATTTAACAACACTACACCTGTCCTATTGCCCGTGAATTAACTTTAAAGGTGCCCTTTTTGTTTGGAAATTTCCAAGTTTTTAAAAAAGTTTGGTAAAAAACGTGCAATTTCGGTGTGGTATGTATGACAGGAAAATTTCTTCCCGTCGCCAACATTTCCAGGAAAATTTTTTTAGGTGTCCTTTTCGATATCCCAAAGTGCCCCTGGAAGCCAGTACACCCCAATCTTTTGGCGCTTCCTACGCCCCTGTCTGCTGAGGTCCTTGATCTACTTTCTTGGAAACCTCTTAATTAATAAGGTGGTCTTCCACTCAAAATTTAAAATTTAAAATTAGAACCCTTGGAAGGTAAAGTGACACTGAATAAAGTTATGTTTTCAATACACACGTTGTTGCCATGGTAAACAGGTTGGAGGCCCCCAACCCCAACTGTGAAAAACGGCCATGTTTTGTGCAAAAGATAACTTAAGAACCAGTGGTCTAAAATTCTCAAAAAAAGGCTTAAAGTGTACAGAAATGGTTGCTCTATGTTCTGAACCACAAAAATACTCATATATTTTATTACAAGTAAAAATATATGTGAATTTTCCTAACAAATGGAGAAGTTTGAGATAATATGTGGTCTCACTTATATAGATATCCCTCATAATTGTAGCTCATTTTCAGCAAAAATGTTTGAAGTAATCTAAAATGAGCCACATGGATAAGTTTCTCCCTCCTTTTCTTCATCTTTGTCCCCTTTTTCTTCTTCCTCCCACGTGGCACTTTTCTCGGTCCACAATTTTACAATATCTTGTTCCTTATAGTCTGTCTTTTTACTTCTTTACAATATCTTGTTCCTTATAGTCTTGTCTTTTTACTTCTTTACAATATCTTGTTGCTTATAGTCTGTCTTTTATTTATCATATCGTCATATTGACAACATTCAGCTTCACAATATTTCCCACGATTAATGCCAATGTTCTTCAGAACTTGAATAGAAGGGGGGTGAATAGGTTTTCGGATCGTCGGATTCCACTGAAAAAATTGTTCGGATTTCAGATTTGGCGAATATTTTACACGGAGTTGTGGATCTTATTAATACAGCGGTTTGTGGATTTATCTAATATTTTGGCTCGGATTGTGGACTTTGCTTGCAATTTAGTTCGGATCCTGGATTGTGACTTCATTTAGAGCTTTTAACAGATCCAAATTTAGACAAGACCATTGTCGGACGGCGGATTTTGCTTCAAATTTGGGCGGATTTGTATACCCCTATTCAACCACCTGCCCCATAGAAGCTTCACATCCAATATTGAAATGGGCAATAACATCATGTACTCCAAGTTGCAGTATGTCCGAGCCAACAAATGTTTGTTTTGCCAACTGTTCCCAAATCATACCTTTAGAGGCTCATTCTGATTTTGAGTCTTGCCACCTAAACACCTTGACGACAGGCCATCATCACTTAAGCCTGGTTCACACGATGAAATAAGCATAAGCAAAAGCAGTGGAACCTTTGATGTAAGCACAAGCATAAACATAAGAAGAACAAATGTTGCGTTCTTCTTATGCTTACATCAAAGGTTCCGCTTGCTCATGCTTATGCTTACTTCAACGTGTGAACCAGGCTTTAGCCTCTCAAAAGTTGGTTTTAATTGCACAGTAATATCCACAGGCAAGCCAGCTCCATGTTTGTATTCATTTGTCTTATTTGCTTTGTCTGCCATGCAACTGAGAATATGGAGTTGGTTGAGATGGCATGTTCATCAGACCACAAAACCGTTTTGCTGCAGCATGACCACAACCAATGGATCTTAGAGCATACACAAACCTCCTGTTTACTTAAAAAAAACGTGATACTTGACGTGAGGTAAAAACAGGCCTTGATAATATTTTTTCGTGCCTGCGAGCGAAATTCAAAATGTGCCTGCAAAAACACATCTTATTTATATTTTGTGACCTAAATATTGTTAAAATGTCATTATTTTAAAATGTGTCTGCAAAAATGTAAAAGGTGCCTGCGAGCGGTGCTCGCACACTTTATCGAGGCCTGGGTAAAAAACTGCTTATTCCAACCACAAGAACAACAAAGTAGCTGCAGATGAGAGGCACACCCTTTTCGTTTTAACCCATTTCGTTCAAAGTAAGGCAACTGGCAACATTCATTGCATGGTAAAATGCTCAACACAGATGAAAAAATTGTCATATCAACAAACTGAATCCCACTTACGATTAGTGTACCCTTGAATATTCCATTATCAGCAACCTTTTGTGGCTTTGAAGGATTTATTTTCGTTTTCGTTTTGGCTGTCATTTAATATGGCCGACATGATTCACCCTATAGATTCACCACAGTTCTCCGACGCTTTTCTTTGACCTGTGTGTTGATTACCATAATATTTTCGCTTTTTCGAATAACCAGATTGAGCACGTCGCATTTTAAATTAAACCAAGTTTTAACACCAAACAAATATTAATGTGAAAATATGCTTCGCCTGAACTTTCGCTGTTGAAATCAGTTTACAGAATCACTTTCCCGAACGAAATACTTCATGTAAACATGTGTTAAATGTCCCTGATCGAGTCTGCCAAAAAGAAATCAGGGAGGGGTGGGTAATAGTACATTTTATTCAAAACCAATCGGCAAGATTCATGGTAAACTATTCGTTGTTAAGGCGGTTGCTAAGGGGATAATGGCACATTTGTTCAGTATTTCCCATTTTTTTCATATTTAACGAAGAAATACCGTTAAAAATGCTTTACAACATGAAAATATAATAAATAGGCATGACAATTTTGCTACTTTCAAAAAAGTGAAAAAATCAAAATTTTGAGTGGAAGACCACCTTTAAAGGCACAGTTCAGCCTTTTGAACGATGGTTTTTAAGGCGCATTTCAGCCCTTTTAATTGAAAAAACTAACTAGGAAAATCAATTAAGCATAATTCAAAATCAGTAAACTCGATGTTTTTAACAATAAAAATGTTTTAAAATGTTAAAAACATTAAGTTTGGTGATCTTGAATTATGCTTAATTGATTTTCCTAGTTAGTTTTTTCAATTAAAAGGGCTGAAATGCGCCTTAAAAACCATCGTTCAAAAGGCTGAACTGTGCCTTTAAAACGTACAGCAAGACGTGACCTGAACATGTTTACATGTCTATCTTTCTTTATAAAATCCTTAAATAATAACCTGCTATTTAGACAAGCGATATGCAAACAACATATAATCTCAGAAATAATATTATAATTTAAAATATCATTAACAATTCATAAACCTTGTGGCAAATCATGTCATCCATAATATGTCACGTGGAGTGACTTTATATCTGATAAAACACATGTGGCATTATATAATTGTTCATCCTCATTAGTATGATTATATAATGGTTCATCCTAATTAGTATTCTTTTGTAGTCGTATTTTAAGGTTTTCAAAACGCGAGTAGGAATGTTTTATCAGACATAAAACGCTCGGCTGCAAAAAAATCAGCTTTGATTTTCTCGGCTTAGGCAATGTTTATTTTTTAAAATTACTTCGCCAATGAACTCATCATGAGATTGGTCGTTTTTAAACCATTTAAAACAATCGCAGTCTGCAAATATAAAACATTTTCCGTGTTGATATACAGTTATATCAACACGAGTGGAATTGGGAAAACGAGAAATTGTATGGAAACACGACGCCCGAAGGGCGGAGTGTTTTCATACAATTTCGAGTTTCCTCAACTTCCACGAGTGTTGATATAACTATATATCAATACGGAAAAAATGTTTTATATAGAGTGAGATGCCAACAAAATTTCAGTAAATCTAGCATGCGACAAAAAACACAACCTAAATTCACAGTGTCACAGAGTAGAGACATACAGAGCTGTAACTGACCGTCGTAAACACTGCGGAAGCTCAAGTTTTCATGTACTCACTTTTTTCAGGCGACCAGGCAAAAAACGCGTGCTCAGCAAGTTCCGCGAGCAGTTAAAGTGAGTCGTCATCAGGTCGTCATCCAATCAGATGCATACATATAGTAACTTGCCTAGCGTGCGCATAAAAAAGCGGGTACACCATAGAATCCCAATAAATATAGTTGTAACAAATAAAAAGCGTTAAATTTGATTAATTTTGAATAAATTTGTATTGTATTACCGTGCTTGGACTGTTTTCAATCTTGCGCTGTGAATTCAGTGACGTAAGTAAATCGCGACTATAACTTATGCTTCGTATACGCGATTTGCTTACGTCACTGAATTCACAGCGCAAGATTGAAAACAGACAAAGCAAGTTAATACAATGCAAATTTATTCAAAATTAGACAGATTTAACGCTTTTTATTTGTTACAACTATATTTATTGGGATTCCTATGGGTACACTAGTTATAACTCTGTATATGTATTTACTCTGTGACAGTGTCAGCAACACGGGTAAACAGTGTGGATTTTTTGGTAAACAGAAACGGACAGAGAGTCAGAGGGCCTATACCATTGGCCTATACTTGCATTTTTCGCAATTGCGCCTGGTTACCAGGTCAAGTAGAAAGTATTCACACTCGACATTTCCGTCTACAAAACCATCTACAACTATATGGTTGTATCGAAGATGCTCAAAACTCGGACTATACCTGCAGAACGAATCCCAAAATAAAACGCAATATGACGAATGCCACATAGTCCCTTATAAGAAACATCAAAATACCAAGAACGCTGGGTGAGTACAAACAGAACAAGAGCACGGGTCGTCTGCCAAATTTATCTGATAATGTCCCGAACACTAAACCGCCAACCAAGACACCACAGAAATATATCGTTGTTGCGAGACTGGCTTTGTATGCATCGTCACAGACCAAATCCCACTAAATAAAACGCAATATGCACAGTTAATGCAATTAACCGGATTTTGTGAAAACGTTGGCGGGGGAGGTAGAAAACATTTTAGGGGAGGTGCAGCAGTCTTGCCCACGGCCTCCCTGGGAGCTAGGTCTGTCTAACGCCTGAAGATTTTACTCATCAAGTGGGGAAAGTGCTGTCACTCAATGGTTTAATCAGACTTCAGTATCTGCCAAGTGGCGAATAACCCATTGAGTTAGAGCATAGCCTATCGAAGGGAAGATGGCTGTGAAACTCATTAGAATAACAACATAACTCATTATCTAAGTTTAATAGTCAACGTTTATTCATAAATCTGGTCCTTTGCCGTGACGTGCGTATTGCACTTTTGCCCAACTAACCAACAGCAATGTATGTTTTAGGAAAGTTATTATTTATCCGTGACTCGAAAAATAGGAAAATTGGAAATTGCTATTAGCCATTTCCCAATCGGGCAGAGGACTGGGTCTAGTCGCTTGTTTGGATGGACAAAAACATTCTCGTACCCAGAGCCCTTCTTACGCACGGTGCGACGAGAGGCTCTGGCCAAATGCATATTCCGAACTGGCATCTGATTGGCTATAGTTCTACATTCCTAAAGTTATTCCTAAAGTTATACGCAACAATTGTAATAAGGCATCTTTTAATATATATTTAGCTCGCTCACTATAACTTGTTGTCCCTCCAAACATCAACTAGACCCAGTCCTCTGCTCGATTGGGAAATGCCCAATTGGAAAAAATACTGTACATACACATGTGACGGTGAAGGCCATGCAGATTTATGAACAAACGTTGATTAACATATATAATGAGTTATATTGTTATTCTAATGAGTTTCACAGTCATCTTCCCTTCGATTGGCTATGGTTAGACAGCAGTGGCGGCGCCAGGCCTCCGAATCAAACTCATATTTTGGGGGGGCAAGATAGAATTTTTAAAAAGGTCGCCCCCCAGGAGATTCGCCCCCCCCCCCTCAAAAGGGGGGCGATATTCCTAGGAATATCGCCCCCGGGGGCGAATATCCTAGGAATATCGCCTCCCAGGGGGGTGGGGCGAATACCCTAGGAATATCGCCCCTCTTTAGGATATTCGCCCCCCATATATTCGATGTGGTTTATTCAAATAATTTCGTGATACTTTCATCTTATTAGTGCCTTACACGTTTGAGAATTTAACTCTGCAACACTAAAGCTTTTTTGTCTATTTTGAAACGTATTATTGGAGTATTTTACCATTCAGAGATTTACAAACTAATATTGAAACTGTAAAAAACAATTTCATGTATACGCGCATTCACTAATGAGTAATGACAACTTATAAGCCATACATTTTCCGATAACGACAAAACGCGTGTGTAGCCTTTAGTCGCTCTTAGTGACTAACAATTTTTTTGAGGGGGGGGGGGCAAAATGGGGGAGCAAAAAATAATTTGGGGGGGGGCATTTGCCCCCCCCTGGCGCCGCCACTGTTAGACAGTGTGTGTGTTTGAAAAAATAAAATAGGTGCCATTTAAAGGGTTAAAAAAATGAAAGAGCTGCTCAGTATAAATAAAGTTATTTGAATTGATAGTCACCTCAGATATAATGGTCTGCTCTCGTCCTTTTAAATAATACGTCCACCCATTCTGGCACGACTGCTTTTCTTTCGTGCTCCCATTTACAAACAGCTTGCATCCATCCCATTCTTTCTTCCCTCCTTTCTTAAAGAGCGGCACAACTTCGTTAATGTCGGTTGTATTTCCAACCCTGCAGTGATGTTTAGTTTTTGCTCCCATGAAAGCCATCCCCAAGTGGTTCCATGCAACGAAGAAGGTGTTACAACACAGTAAGATGTAGAGAATCATTTGAAATTTTCCAGGACTACCCAACGCACTTGCGAGGTTGTCGACAGCCATGGCTTTCGTAGTTTGAATTAACACTATAAAGACAAGAACTAGGATATAAAGCCTCCATAAACTAGCGAAATAGTTGTTGACAACTTTGTTGTCCACGGCTAAAAATCAGTTCCCTGCTGACAGAGGTCTCTATCTGTCTCTACTTGTCTCTCTTCGAGACCTCTGCCAGCAGGGAAAACAAATCAGGGGCCGGTTGTTCAAAGGTGGGTTGGCGCTAACCCTGGGTTAAAATTCAACCCGCTGTTTTCGTTTGTGTATTTCTGCACGTCTGTTTATCTCAAAATATCAGAGAATTGAACTCCTATCAATCCCGACAAGATTTCTGAAGAAATACTTCCGAATTTATATAGACAGGCTGTCAGGAATGTTTTTTATGTTACTCTGAGTGTATACCACGGTGGGAATCGAGTTCAAGGTTGCAAGGTTGCAAGCAATTCAATTCACCTGAGTACATAACATCAAAACACACACACAAAATATCATGATCATAGAACACATTGGTATCGAAGGTACTAGACTTAGTTCTGAAATACCACACACTCGAACAGACTTGGCCTCGTAGCTCAGTTGGCAGAGCATTGGACTAGTATCCCAAAGGTCGCGGGTTCGATTCCAACCGGTGGTCAGCGGGTTAACTTTTCAGCCTACCCGATTTGAATTTTAGGTAATTAACCTAGGGTTGGTGTGTGATAAAAGTTGTTCATAAATATTTGTTAAATTTTTAGTAGTTGACAACAAAGTAGTTTCCATTTTTTGAAGGGAAACTTGAATTTTAGTCAGCAAGTCAATATTGTCGGTTTTCTAGTCTGTGAGGAGCAGTTACAGTAACACAGAAAACTAATAGTGAACAAATAAAAGTTGTCCCGGACTGTCTGTTGTCGATAATAAATGGCCAGTGACAACAAATCACTGTAGTTTGTGGAGGTCCTTAAGGTTACAGAACACCTTTGAGTCCATGAAAGCATTAGACTAGTTCTACTATCTGGCCAAGTTTCAACGAAAAATGTTGAAAACTCGCAGAGTTATTTAATAAAATACATTTCGCTGCAATAAGAAAAACATCGAAAATGTAATATTCAAATTCAATTTTCTCCCGAAGAATACGGTAATTACTGATTTTCAAACGAGTTGTGCTCCTGCGGGTTTTAACCAATTTTTCTCAAATTTTCACAGGACATAGCTAAAGACGTCAGTTTCAAAATTGTGTTCGGCTTTTCTTCAATTTTGGATATTTTAATAATAAAGATCACTCAAACAATTCAGACAAATAATTCACTCAAACAATTCACTCAAACAATTCGGAAATATATTGCAGTCGTCAAAGAAATCGCCATATCAGAGGAATAATTCTTACATTATTTTATTGTTTGTTAATTTTAAAACTTTAGTCTTTACCATATTTTGCATGCACTGGCGAATATTTGGTGAAAATTTGATTAAAATCGGACTGATATTGAGCGCGCAGTAGCGATTTTCCGCAAAATGCCAAAAAGGAATAAAAAATTAACCTTCTAGGGGGGTCTGTGGTCCTGCTCCCTGGAAAAATTTTGAAATTTGTATCTCTGAAATGGCATTTCCAGCATTTTAATTTGAATTCAAAACTATTGTAAGTATTTTATATGTTAAGTATAGAATTCAAAACTCTTTTTAATGCTTAGTGTCCACAGCTCAATTACTGGCGATTAGCGCTAATATAATATATGCACCTTACTATCAAAATATGTCAATTATACGAGCTGTAATCAGAGATAGCATTTGTGCAACAGCAAATGAGGCAATGACAGCAAATTTGCAGTGCTGTTAAACATCTACTTGTGCTGTTCATGAGATTGACTGGGAGGTAAACACAGAAAGTTAAAGTGTTTCACAATTTTTCATTGATCTCTAGATCCAGTGGTGCCATGGTCGGGTGGGGAGGGGGCATAAAGGGCCATGCCCCCCCTATTGTTGAGACCCGTAGGAAAATTAGAAGTTTGTTATGTTGTCGGAATCTTCACATGGTCAAGCATACCTGCATATACGAGCGGGAATTTTACTTCTCTTCGTTGTTTGACAATCGTAAACATATAATAGTTTTGTTTGTGGAAACACCACATAAATTTATTACTGCAAAGCATTCGATCCGTAAGCCTGGATCTTCATAATTGGCTTACGGATCGAAAGCTTTGCAGTAATAAATTTACGTGGTGTTTCCACAAACAAAACTAATATATGTTTTATCGCCATGCAAACATACAAAGAACTTAGTTAATCGGAAACATGTTTGAATAAAAAAATACATAGATGAAAGATCAGAAATCGGACTCAGTTCATGATGTTTTCCCAATATAAGTTTATAGAATAGTCCGGATTTCACAGAAAAAATTGTTCGGATTTTGGATCCGGCAAATATTTTACACAGATTTGCAGATCTTATTTGTATGGCGGATTGCGGATTTATCTAATATTTTTGCTCAGGTTGTGGATTTAGTTTGGAATTTAATTCGGGCCCTGGATGGTGACTTCATAGTAGAGCTTTTAGTGGATCCAAATTTAGACAAGACCATTGCCGGATTGGCGGATTTTGCTTCAAATTTGGGCGGATCGGCGGATTTGTATACCCCTATTAACCTCCCCCCATTATTTATGTCGGAAAAAATTGTGCATGTCAAGAAAATGCCGACTCCCCTGTCTAGATCTGAGCTTTTCAGAACTAAGTAGGTCATCTAGCTGTAGAACTTATACTAGCAGACCTGCCAAGCTAAGTTCCTGCATTTTGTGTGAAATTTATTTAGCAATTTCCGGTCATGACTCAAAAATGGAAAGTATGAAAGAATTGCGAAACTGGAAGCTGAAAGAAAGCTGGATTTGCAAATGATTGGGAAGCAGAAGCAAGAATTACAAGAGCTTCATAAAAGCATAAACAATGATATCAACGAACAGAAAGAAATGAAAAACGACTTCTCGCAAACGAAATCAAAGTTCCAAGAAAAAGACAGCGAACAAGACTCGAAAATGGAAAGCATGAAAGAAAGAATTGCGACACTGGAAGCTGAGAAAATGCTGTATTCGCAGATGATTGCGAAGGAGGAAAACCGAGCAAATGGATTGCTGAAAACTGACAATCGATTTATTTTTGTACTTCTTCTTACTACTGCCGGGCTGCCACATGTCTTAAATTAGTTGGCAAAAGGAGATTGAACCTTGCATGTTTAGAATCTTAATGAACGATGAATACTGTAGTATATTGCTTAGCATGCACATATATTTAACTTAAAATTGGGTCACAACCATCCACCTGGAAGTGACGATAAAGCCCTTCTTTCACACCTTACCGAATCAATCGATTCTGTCCTTTCCACCAATCCCGGTGCAGGAATTATTTTGGCCGGAGATTTTAACCAATTTAAACATCGCCAGTTATGCAGTTCCTTTAACCTCAAGCAGTTAGTCAAAGACGCTACTAGAGGAAAGAATATTTTAGATAAAATATTTACCAACATTTCTAAATTTTATAATTCTGCCTTGGTAATTTCTCCAATTAGACATTCCGATCATAATTCCATCGTTCTTAAACCTCTTCCAGCTAACTCTTATGGTGGCACAAGGTCTACACGTTTAGTACGAGACTCTCGCGCAACCAATCGTCGAATTGTTAGCGATCATCTGTCGAAAGTTAATTGGTTACCTTTGCACCATAAGGAATCTTGTGACGAGCAGTTCCAGTATTTTTCCACCATCGTTGATAATATCATAAACGAACATTTGCCTTGGAAACAAATCAAAATTGATTCTAGTGACAAGCCTTGGATTACTTCCGAAATAAAATCTCTTATTTCCAAGCGGCAAACAGCATGGGCGGCTGGCAATAACCTGATGTTCAGATTCTATCGAAACAAAGTCAATGCACTTTGCAAAAAAGCACGACTAAATTACTACAATAAAAGTATCGCGGGCGTTCAACAGTCCGATTCTCGTAAATGGTGGTCAGCGGTGAAGAATATTGCCGGTCTTCAGTCTCTAAGAATGTATCTACAATGATGTTCCAAGGTAAATCCTACTCTGATGCCGATTTAGCAAACTTGCTCAACGACAAGTTCGTTGCTGTAGGGTCCTCCTTACCCAATCTAAACTGGCTCCCCCTTCCCACAAATGACATTCCAGATGATTTCTGCATCTCTGTCGAGGAGACTGAAAAGGCCCTATTATCATCTAAACTTCATTCATCTGCTGGTCCCGATGAAATTCCTTCTTGGCTTCTCCGGGAAAACGCTTCGGTGTTGTGTCGACCTTTGTGTTCTATTTTTAATTCATCAGTTCGTGAAGGATTTGTTCCCTCAATATGGAAGGCAGCAAATATTACACCAGTTCAAAAATCTTCGCCTCCTAAAGATGTTGATTCTGACTTCAGACCAATCTCCCTCACACCAATTATCAGCAAGATTCTTGAATCCTTTGCCTACAAATGGCTACTTGACTCCGTCTCAAAAAAATTGATTCCTTGCAATTTGGTTCGCTGAAGGGTTCAAGCACTAGTATGGCATTAATCTACATGCTACATAAATGGTTTGAAGCAGCTGACAAACAAGGCAACACTATACGGATTTGTTTACTTGATTTTGCCAAGGCGTTTGATAGATTAGATCATAACATTCTGTTGGAAAAATTGAAAGACATGGAAATTCATCCCGTGTTACTCAACTGGATCGCAAACTTCCTAACAGGCAGACAACAAAGAACCCGTGTTGGTCAGTTCTTTTCTGAGTGGAAGTTTTTAAACGCCGGCGTCCCACAAGGAACGAAGCTTGGCCCGCTATTATTTTTGATCATGATAAATGACTTGGCTGTAGTGGATGAAACTGTTAAATTTGTCGATGATACCAGCCTTTGGGAAATAATATCAAACAATTCCCCTTCCCAGTTACCCGCTAACATCATCAGCTGCTCTGAATGGTCATCAGACAATAATATGAAGTTAAACGTATCAAAGACCAAAGAATTGCGTGTCTGCTTTCTAAGCTTACTCCATCGTTTGCCCCTATTAACATTCGCGGTCAAGAGGTCGACGTCGTTTCCGAGGCCAAACTATTGGGCGTTGTCCTTTCGGACGACCTCAAATGGAACTGCCATATTGACTACATTTGCAAGAAAGCCGCGAAGCGTTTGTACGGTCTGCGCCTTCTTAAAAGAAATGCTTTACCTTCTCATATTCTGATCTCAACCTATTGTACACATATTAGACCAATTGTCGAATATGCTTGTCAGGTGTGGCATTATGGCCTTCCTCATTACCTGAGTGATCAAGTTGAAAAAATACAAAAAAGGGCATTAAAAATTATTTTCCCTGGAACTATCTTTGCTGAATGTTTGCTTAAATCTAACTTGATGACTCTTTACGAACGTAGAACTGTTCTTTGCAAGCGACTTTTTTCGAAGATGTTGGAACCCACTCATAAACTGAATGCCTTAGTACCGCCTAAAAGTCTTCAAACTTATAATCTAATCTATTTTTACCTGTAAATATAGATTAGATTGAATACCTATGTTCTTATACCCTGTAATTCCAAAGTAATTCAGTTGTTTCTGCTAGTTTGGAAATTTATAATAATAATAATAATAAAAGTTAACTCCGACCACGAACTTCCGGTCTTTCGCATTCCGGTTGTAATATTGCTGATATCTCGCTTGTCATCGTTTCAATTCCTCACGTGCAAGCTTGAGGGTCTGCTCCAGTTTCTCCCGTAAATCAATCACGTACTGGTAACTGGTCTTCACTTCCGCCTCATCGAACTCTTCCGTCCATAGCTCCTTCAAAATAGTCATGGGCCCCCTGACTGTCCGTCCGTAGAGCAGCACGAATGGCGAAAATCCCATTGAAGCCTGAGGTACCTCCCGATATGCAAACAGAAGGGCAATGATGTGTCGGTGCCACTGCTTAGGTTGTTCCTAAATCGTACTCGAAACCCGTTCTCTGTCAGGTCGCATCTCTTCAACAGGGCTTCCTTCAACTCTTTATAATCTACTGCGGCTGTTTCTGACATTCTAGAGTAAACGTCTAGGGCCTTACCTGTCAACAAAGTACTCAGCGACGTCGCCCAAACCGACTCGTTCCATGTATTGCTTTTCGCGAAGCGTTCAAACCTTTGTAGGTAGCTATCCAAATCATCCTGACCGTCGACAAACTGTGGTAACTTCGGCATCTTCGCAGTGGCGATTCCCGAGTGCTGTTCACTAACGCCCCCGTCTGTATTAACTGCTTGTACTTCAAGTTGCTTCATTTCCAGTTCGCGCCTTCGCATCGCCTCTTTCTCTCTCGCTTGGGCTTCTCTCTCACGCTCCTTCGCCTCGAGTTCTCGCTGTTGTTGTCGTTCTCTCTCCTCCGATTCTAGTTTTTAATGTCACGCTCTCGCTGTCTTTCTTGTCGATCGTCGTCTACTTTACGCCTTTCGATTTCTTGGCATGCAAACTTGGTGTTTCGCCGCCATCTTGGAAAAAATGACCTTCGAAGGTCAATGAACATTGTGACGTCATTAGATGGGTAGCACCAAAACTACATAAGAGAATTCTATTGCGTGCGTGTTAATTTAGCTAAAATATGTCGTTTTAAGCGTTATACTGGCCAATACGCAATCAAACAAGAGAACTCTACACCATCAGATAAAAACGTATCGAGCGACTGGGAAAGCAAGGAATAGCGCAATTTACAATACAGATAATTAATTGATCATAAAATATTGCATTAGTGTTTGCCTTGTTACACTCGAATTTCTGCGTTTATTTAACACGGATTAATGTATATATTATGAGAAGTAGTGGGAAATAAGGTACATACTTGGGAAAACGTTTCTGCCTTTGGTTTTGTCTCAAAGTGCACTATGCGTAGGCCTACTCTGGGGGCGGTAAATCGCCTAAAATCGCATTAAATCGCGGGTTAAAGTTGTCGAATTTCTCTTAAATCGCCTAAAATCGCCAAAAATCGCTTAAATTCGCCAACATGCATTCAGTCCATGTACTCAAGTTTATGAGTATATCAAGTTTATGTATCATGCATTTATACATTCAGTCCATGTACTCAAGTTTATCAATTACTGCTATTTTACGGGCAAATCATGTAATCCAGGTGCTTCTCAATCAAAAGTAATGCAACATGAATTAGCAATAAAATAAGTGGATTAGGCTGACAATATTTGGTCACTCAATAGGCACCGGTCATTGACCAAAAGAGAGCCTTTTTCTGCTTTATGCAGACTTTATAATAATTAGGTAATTCTGGGATCTGAAAGACCCATAGATCCCATACACTACCAGCAACAAATTTGAGCTAGTTACCAGAATGAGTTAATTTCATTATTGGTGTAAATGGAGGCTGGGCTACAATTTATATGAACTATGGAGGCTGGGCTACAAATTAATCTATAATCTACATGGCTTCGAATTCTCAAAGCTTAATTGCTGTTAATTAGAACAACAGTAGGAGACTAGGAAAGTCAATTAGTACGAGTGTTGATTTATATAATAAAGTCATCCTGTAATTTGTGCACTGTTGCATGTAACATCGAGCACTGCATTGTATACAATGGTTGCACTTCGACATGTGCATGGTTATACTCTAGCTCCTAGTTATAATTATAGTGGCTATCAAACGAAAAATATACGTGAGGTTATGAGCGAGTTGCAACTCTCATCTATTAAACTTTCCAGACCTGTATATACAATAAACAGTAAATTAAACAATGATTACATCGTACATACCATACAATAGATCTTTTGTTGTTGTTTGTTTGCAGAACCTAAAACCACGATGTAGTGCGCCATTTGTTTAATACTGTATTATTTTGTTTTTAATTTTAAAATAATTTAGAAATTAGAATTCTTACCATTTATATACGATATACTTCATCTTCATGTAATTTAAACAATACGGCATTACGCCGACAGTTTCCGAATGCGTGACGATACTGTTTCTGGATACTGGGATATGAGGGATATGATATAGATATCAAATTTTATAGAACATGTTTGTAGCATGAAGAAAGCACGAGATTGAAACAGTTTAAATAAAATGCAAGCTAAATATAGAAGTTTTGACATGATACAAAACAAGACAATTTCACTTACAAGAGTGACAAGGTAATTTATAGGATTATAGCTTATTCAGTTATACTGTATAAATACATTGTGTGTTTCTATTGTGGGTTTTTAGGAAATCAAATATTATATTTCGCAATTTTAACTCGACATAAATTAATGATATTCAAGTTTAAGACATGTGTAGTGCATGCGCCTTAAGTAGAGTATATTAACTGTTTACAATATTTGTGGTATATAATGTAGCCATGAATGACCACATTACCCCACAAGATGAACCCCAATGGCTTCTAAATAGAGAATGGATGAAGAGTTCATGAATATTGAGCTTTATATGTGAATCAGGTTAAGTACAATAATTAGTAACCTAGCTTTATATAAAATGTACACACATGTTCTAATAATTATAATTGTATTTTGCTGCATACAATGCATATGTTAGTGGAAACATTACATTATTATTTAGCTCACTCCCCACATTGGGGCTTTTCAGTGACCGATTACATCAAATACTATGACTACTTATGTTAGCCTAGACTATTTATCTTTACAGCAATGAGAATATAATATTACTTTCCTTACTGTGTTTATATCCTAACCCACCGTGCCAATTTTGCCTTGTGGGAGGAAACCGGAGAAAAATATAAGATTCAATTCCTTTGAAAACAACTAAATTGCAATCACTAATATTTAAAATTTTCTCTTAAATCGCCTGAAATCGCATTAAATCGCAGTGCTTGAAAGTCCCAGTTTTTCCTTAAATCGCCTAAAATCGCCCAAAATCGCATTATATCGCAGCGATTTAAGGCGATT